TGAAGATTGTTATGTAGGGAATATGTAATGGAAGATGGTTATCATTTAGAGAATATATTATGGAAGATTGTTATGTATGATGTAGGGAATATGTAATGGAAGATGGTTATCATTTAGGGAATATATTATGGAAGATTGTTATGTATGATGTAGGGAATATGTAATGGAAGATGGTTATCATTTAGGGAATATATTATGGAAGATTGTTATGTAGGGAATATATAATGGAATATTGTTATCATGTAGGGAATATATAATATATTATGTAATGGAGGATGTTATCGTTTAGGCATTACGTAATGGAGGATGTTGTCTTGTGTGGATTATGTAATGGAAGATGGTAATAATGTAAGGAATACAATTTGTGTAATGTAGTACTGTTACCACGTAGGGGTTATATAAGGAATATATGATGGAATGTGGTTATTGTGTAGGCATGATATAGAAGATTGTTATCATGAAGGGTGATGTCATGGAAGATTGTTATCAAGTATGGATTAGATCATGGACGATTGTGATGTAGTTATTATGCTATGGAAGATGTCATCATGTAAGGATTATTTATCATGAGACAACCCAGTTGTTAGGGTGGCTGCTGATGCCTATGTAAGTCTTGGTTCCCTCCCCATATGGAACACATCTCATCACTGCCTAGCTTCTACGGCTCGAGCCACTGTCTCGCAGGACAAACACAGAGCTTCTTCTTTCATCAGCTGTATTGAGATATTCCACTTTCTACCAATCCATGCCACGTGACAGAGGAGGACCTTGATATATTTGCATGAGTGCTGGTGCCCCTAGATATGAAATGGCATATCCCATTATGTTTGATTACTGTTAGGAGTGGGACAGCTTAATGAGGCAAACACAGCCACAGTAATTAAATTGGAGTGATAGAGACTGCTTCTGTAACGCTTGGAATAAACCGCTTAATCCTGGGGTGAGCTGACGAATCAGGAGTGGCCATGCTGCAGACACACCAATATACTGCTGGAATCAATAAATGATTGTTGGTTGGCATCTCTCTTACAGTTGAGAATTTGCATCCGACTGCTGAGTATTGAGTCAGGAAAGCTCAACTAGCCACAGTCAAAGGCAGCCCATGTTCCCTGGTTCTACTTGGTCCTAATTATTGGCGGAGGTGGAGAGAGGCAATTGATGCACTCACAAATGGAGCAACGCTTTTTCTCCACTATCTTCCCACAAATCCCAGGCTGTATGTCATAAGTGAATCAGGGTGACGGGATGGACTGTGGGTGGGGGTTACTGGTGGAGGTGGGATGGAGTGGGGATGGGTTTAGCTCTAGGATGCTAATTAGGTAGTTGATCCTAGAAATGGTAGGCTTCACACAGGGTTTGGGGTTGGGTGATCCAAGACATTGTAGGCTTAAGTCAGGGTTTGGGATTGGGTGATCCTAGAAATGGTAGGCTTCAGACAGGGTTTGGGGTTTGGTGATCCTAGAAATGGTAGGCTTCAGACAGGGTTTGGGGTTTGGTGATCCTAGAAATGGTAGGCTTCACATAGTTTGGGTTGGGTGACCCTAGAAATGGTAGGCTTCAGATTGGGTTGGGAATCAGTCAGTGTTTTTGATGGCTAATCACAAGAATAGTCGATACCAGACAGGGTTTGGGGTAGGGCTGGGACGAGTTCAAATTTACTACCCAGGTACCCACCCTCCTATTACCCAACACTACCCGGGTACCCACTGTAGGTCTCAAGAGATACAAAATATCTAATTTTTGTCATTAAACAATACATCACGTGACTAACCATGGGTCCGGGTAGTCCTGTGGGTACCAGAGTCCGACTCAGTACCCTACTGAACCAGGTACCCGAGATACCCGTCCCAGCCCTAGTTTGGGGTTGGGTACTATGTGGGTGATGGATGAAGGCTGTACATTGATCAGCTTTATCAGACTATGATTTTTATAATTGAAAACAAAATATAGGAAATAAAAAAGATATGTTTCTGATGAGTAACACATACATGATATAATTCTATCAAGTCCTGGGCATGTTTTTCAGCTCAAGTAATTTGTTTGTGAAATATCGACATTGTCTTGTTAACGGTCCAACTAAAGTAAGCCTTCTGCTGCTGTGCCTGCACAGCTTGCTGTGTATACAACATTAGAAAGATGGGCCAACTGAACATGTAACTGAAGGAAAATCGATATCAAAAATTGCAAAATAAGTCATTTTTGGCTGGAGGATTAATAATTTGGTCTGCCTAATAGTGTTTTAAGCACAAAAGGTTTAAAATCTGTACCTTAATGTGGAATTAATTTGAGTGTGTTTTCATTCTTCCCTGGTCTCCGACCTCCAAAATGCATCAAAACCTCAGAATTATTGTTCTAGGATTGATTTTCATTCCTTGTACAAATTAAATATGATTATCTTCAGATGGGAATGGTGCATCTGTTTCTGTGCAGGTTGCTATTGGGAGGTTGGGCTGGAGCAGTGTGTCTTAGGGATGCTAGATATGGCAGTCTGTGTCAAATGTAAACAGTGGAATTGACTTGCTCCTTGAGGTCTGGTTATTATGTGTTATTAGTTTACCTGTACAAAACAACAGCACTCTGAACATTTAACCACTTCCATGTACACACTAGAGATGTATCTTGCAGAAAATCACCTTTTGTGCAGAACTCGTGCAGAATGTAGCATTTTGCTGAAGCGTAATTGGTCAAATACACATTTTCCATGCAAATTAAAAACTGGTCCTCAATAAGTAAAATTTACATAAGCTTTCACAAACAACATGTGAATGAATTGTTTTTGTATTAAAGAACATTCTACTATAGATTGTTTAAAATTTTAACATTATTGAAGTGTTTATCTCAAGTGAATCCAACTTTTGTATTGTGACTTACGCTAAATGCATGTCTTCCTGTATCATGCTCTGACTGTTAGTTCATAAAACATGGATACATTTATCAAAAAAGGCTTTTATTCATGGAAAAAAACCAACTTACTGTATGAGGTTGTAGGGCTGTGTGCAGAATTCATGAAAATTGGTTGTAGAATATATCAGAATTTACTTCAGACGTTTTATATTTTTGTTTGGCTGTAGAATTCAGCAGGGACTGGTACTTTATGGTTTAGGAACAGCTTGAGTTTTATGTCCTTTGAAAGCAAGACACAAAGGTTCAAGGATTGGAAACTTTTTCTTAAAGTGAACTACACTAGGATTATATAGATTCTCTTTGTTGATGGACTTCCACATGTAGCGAATCCATCTCCTAATAAAGTTAAATAATTTGTTTGTCGCACATAAACAGTTTTTACATCAGTCTTTGATGATGACAACATTGGAGTCAGCATCTGTGAATATTTTCACCAGTCCATTGAAATTCACGTTTTGTGCAGACTAAGTGTCTACAGTTCTGTGTTTATTTCATAATAGTTGAAGGTGCCCGCAATATATTCACTCACCGAAACATGAATACCATACATGTTGGTTAATATAAGAAGTATTACTCATATTTAAGAGATATTAGATTGGTTCGATGCACAAACGAACATACTGTTATGTTGTGTGAACCGACGATCATGAATTCATCACATGTGACGTCATAGACTTGAGAAGTGTCATTTGTCTCGTGCAGGATTAGCATGTAAAGTTTTGGTAATCATGTGGAGGATATTATGATAAGAATAAAAACTCTCTGTAGTAACACTTGACTGATTGTTAATTTGTACACATTGGAAACATTTCTTCGTAATGGACATACTTCTCTATATGTTTCTATGGTATGTGTATGTATATGTGCATGCATGCGTTACCATGCAGAACCGCTTCAAGTCCTTTAAAGCTTGGTTAACTACATTGTTCCCTGATTTGTTTTGCCAAACCATGTTTTGTGTTATGATTGTAAACAATATTATCATCTAAATACGGTTGGTTGGTTGGTTGGTTTGTTGTTTAACGCCGCAGTCAGCAATATTCTAGCTATATGACGGCGGTCTGTAAATAATCGAGTCTGGACCAGACAATACAGTGATTGATATCATGAGCATCGATCCACGCAATTGGGATCGATGACATGCATCAACCAAGTCAGCGAGCCTGACCACCCGATCCCGTTAGTCGCCTTTTACGACAAGCATTGTCACCTTTTATGGCAAGCATGGGTTTCTGAAGACGGGAAAGTCGAATGTGTAATTAAATGTTGGTTGGTATCTACCAATGGTTCTCATCATAAAGCAGCCATCACTCTATCTTGTTACTAGGATCATGGATGTAGAGACCAATGTAAGAATGTGATTCGCTTGCTTAAGTTAGTACTAAAGTGTTTGTAGGTGCAATTAACATATTTTGGCCAACAATGCACTGCACCACCCTGATGGGTCGCCATTTGTTTACTGAAAGTGAAAATGGTTTCAGAGTGAAGTCCCTTTCCAGAGCTCCAGATAAGCTTTTGGCGTTGTGGGTATTTTACCCATGCATTTTAAAATCATTGGGTATCAGTAATTCTATCTGGGTATTCAAATTTCTGTTACCCACTAGTTTTTACACATGTGGGTATTTAAGTTAAATATTTAAAAAACACTATTCATCTAGTCCCTGCAAACTGGTGTTGTGTGGTGTCGTGGAGTTTGGCAAGGTTGATGGAATGTCTGTTTCCATGTAATGCTGATGGCATGGGTTCAACTCCCAACACAGATGAGATCTAATTATTGTAACCCCTGCCATTGATATGGCACAATTCCTCAGCCCCTCACCCCCCGATTTTTGGGGGTCACAACACACCCTTTGTCAGATGGCCTAAACTATACCAAATGTACATATCTGAGTCCTGCCATGAAGCCATCATGTTATATAGTTAAGTTTAGAAAAAAAATACTTATAACAACTTCCTTTCAAAATGTCATCCCTAAACAATAGCCATGAGACATTGCCATGAGACAACCCAAAACCTTTCTTTCTAAATATCCCTACCTGATTTGAAAAGTGTACATATTTTTAAAACTGACTGACACTGACTCTTGTGTGTTACAGGAGAGAGGAACTATCACTGCACATGGCCGGAATGTGGCAAGTCCTTCCGGCACTCGGACAACTTGAAGGTGCATCAAAGGCAGCATACCAATGAGAAACCCATCAAATGTACAATGTGCAGCTTCTCCTGTCGGCAGAGGAACTCTTTACAGTGGCATATCAAGAGGCATCACACACAAAAGCCAGGAGAAGATTCTGAACAGCCACGCGAGCCCCCCGTTTCTGGGAGTAGTGAAAACAGCAATGAACCGAAAGTGAATGGTGTGGCTCCTACTCCTCCTACAGCCCCTGCTGCTGCTGCTGCTGCTTCTGGTGCTGCTGTTGCTGATGCTGCTGCTGCAGCCACCACAAGTGAACAGTCTACCAGTGGAAAGCATGAAAAGGGAATTGATCTGTATGACTTCAATGATGATGATTCTGGTGATGACCTTCCAGTTGTATTCCGAAGGGACAAGCCAAGAGTTCATACCCTCACACGAGAAGCTCTTGATCAACTTCATGAAGCTGCCAAACTTGAGCCTAAACCCAACCCTCTGCCAGAGTGGGTGAAATCTAATGGAGATGCACCAAAGGAGGAAACAGAGAAAGCAGAGGCAGAGGCAGAGAAAGAGAAAGAACCTGTAAAGACACCTCCTAAAAAGAAGAAGAAAAAGGTCGTGTCTAGCAAAAAGGTTTCTCCAAAATCTGTTAAAAAGGTGAAGTCACCTAAAGGAACTAAAGCATTGAAATCAACCAAGTCATCCACTCCTCCTAAATCTCCTAAAGCAACAGCAGCTCCGAAAACTCCAAAGTCACCCAAGTCGCCCAAGTCTCAGGGAATGAAGAAGAAAGTTAGTCCAGAAGTAGCCAAGAAGAAAACACCAGTATCAAAGAAGAAAGTCTCTCCACAAAGCAAGAAGGCAGCAAAGAAGAAGTCTCCTACTAAGAAAAAGGAAACAAAGCCTAAGGGTAAAGCATCTGTGAAGAAAACAAAGACTAAAAAGGCAGCTGCTGTTGAAGAAGATAAACCTGAGGAAGCGGTGGAAGAGAAGGAAGCAAGTGATGAACAAGAGAAAGAACCTGAAGCTGAACCACAACCTGTAGCTGAACCTGAAGCTGAAGTTGAAGCTGAAGCTGAAGCAGAAATCCCAGTTGAACCTGAGGTTGTTCCAGAACCTCAACCTCTATCTCCACAGACTCTCCATAAACCACAAAGTCCAGAGAGTGATGACAGCTCACCAAGTCCACATAGCCCCCACAGTGACCGCAGTGTGTGTAGTCCACTCCTCAGTGACAATGAGAGTGAGGGTCAGCCTCAGCCTCTTCCTGTTGAGCAGGAGGAACGAGAAGAGGAACACATTGAGGAGAAGCAGGAGAATCTGGAGGAAGCCTTCGAGGAACTTGAAGTTCCTCCTGTTATTGAAGTTCCCAAAGAAGAGGCCATGTCTCCTGGACAAGCTCAACAAGAGGCAATTGATAGATCACTTGAGGAGAATCCTATCATTGATGATTCTACTCTGAAAGATCTGAACTCACAACAAGATGTGAGGCAGTACTCACCAGCATTGGTCGAGGAACCTGAGGAAAAGATTGAAGAACAACAAGGAGATGATGAAGAACAGAGGGTCTCCTCTGATGATGAAGTCCCCAATGATATTCTCCTGACTCCACCACGAGCACCTGCTCCTCCTCCACCTCAGAGCCCATCAGAGGAGGAAGAGGAGGTGGAGGAAGTGATGCAACCTGTGCAATCTCCTCTCCCTGCGCCTGTCTCTGTCTCTGTTCCTGTTCCTATTCAAGAACCACTCTCTCATCCTGAACCTATGTCCAACCAACCCTTGTCCAATCAACCTTTGTCCCAAGTGTCGCAAGATCAGCAGCAACCGTTGCCTAGCGTGGAACCTCCGAAAGATGATGCTCAGCCACCACCACCACCACCACCACCTCCTCAACCAAGTGCTCAATTCCCTCATCAGGCACCTGAATGTGACAAGGATTACTTGGGGCAATATCTCCAGGACCTAAATGTACCTGGCAACACCCCAAGAGAAGCTGTTCCAGATGAGCCCAACCGTCTCCAGAGGCTGGAAGAACTGGCGGAGAAGCCTCATGAAGACAGTAGAGATATCCCAAGAGCAGCATCTGTGGCCAGTAATGTTATCACTCACACAAGTATGCAACCATTTCATGACATGTCCCATAAACGCATGGAAATCTTGGCCTGTGATCGTTCTCAAGAACAACACTTCCAGAGGGACACAGCATCTGCGCTTCCACGACTGCCAGACCCTGCCCCATTCGAAACATTTAACCCACTCAACTCAATTCATAGTGTATCTAGAGAGAATAATTTCTTGCGTCAAAATGAAAATATCTTTTCTGCACAAACCACAGGTAGTAGTTTCATGAGGCTGGGCGAGAGTGAGGCCATGAGGCAGAGAATGACCACACCTTTCTTGCCTCAAAATGACAGAACTGCCATCTCACGTCTCCCAGACACAGCGCTGAGACCAACTAACCCAGCTCTTCTTCGCCGACCAACAACCATGCCAAGTACGGACATGTTTCCTACGCCTGCCATGTCTCAGACCATGCAGAGGAACCCCTTCACCAACACATGGTCGGGCCAGGAGGTCCGGCCCCCTCACTGGCCACAGGCTCCATACTTGCAGCGCACAATAGATAGACAGCCGAACACCACACCTGCAACGCTCTTTGCCAAAGACAACTACCTCGCCAGTCGCGACTTTATGTTTGACCCCTCTAGGACAATGACAGAGCGTAATATGTTTGCCAGTCTCTCATCTCCGCAGCCCCAGAGAGAACTGGCACCAGAGACGTTTCCACTTGAATTGAGTTATTTCGGAAGTCATCCGTACTCAGGAACTGCTACATTAGACTATAGTAGGCCACCGTGTGGAACTGCCACTAAAACTTTCGACGAGCGTTATCGTCAGACTGCTGGTACAGCCATGAGTGACTTCCGAGGTTTGCCCCAAACTTCTTCCACTGATGTGTTCAGTGGAATTGGTGTAAATAGCAGTTTCAATTTAGACAAATATATGTACCCCAGAGACCCTGTGTATCATCCGCAACATGTTGGTGACAATACTAATAGTGCTTTCCTAACGCATAGTACACCCACTCAACATTCTGTGTTTGACAGGGAATACCCCCATCGTAGCCTTTACCCTCATCAAAACCCCCCGTATCCATTTCTAGAAGAGAGGCAGTACTCGACGGCAGCCAAACTGACTCATTCAGCGGGACCCACGGTCAACCAAGACCGGGACTTTATGGCCCGACCCAACACGGCGGAGAGCCAGATGCCCCCGGATCCATACCGATGTGGGGTGCTCTACAATGTCATGAATAGATATTCATTTGAATAGACGAGTGTTTGTTAAGTTTTGTTTATGTATCTCATTGCCTTTTCATATGTATCAAGTTCAAACTGTTTTGCTGTGCCTCCTTCACTGAAGACAGTAGTCTGATAGGTTGAGTGATGTTAACCTATTAGGAATACCTTTGAAAATATATCGTCTTCAATGAATCAACTGAACTTATAATTTGTTTGGTTCCATTCAAGAACTATTTTTCTCTGGTATTGCAGGATTTAGATGTGCTTAGAAAGTTTTATGCTAATGAATCTAAAAAATTCCTTCCTTTTTGTATATTTGAGGAATTTTTCTGTAATTTAGCATCAATGGATGTATTAGAAGCACAGTATTTGGTTGCAGAAGACTATCATCTTCAGTGAAGATTGCATCAGGATAATTGTCTATTCAAGGATCACACTTGAAAGTTCAATTGTTTAAATTTTAATTACTTAAGGTGTTGTTAATTTCAGGAGGAACACTGAGGTACTACATGCACTGATTCTACCAGTTTGTTTTCTATGTACAGTCATTTCTGAAGTAACTGAGCATGCAGGGATGACTGGGACAATGTGAAATTTTAGGAAGAAATAAGGCGTGATGGCTTTTTTTCCAAATCTGCCAATGTACTTAAATAATGAATACTTACCCGTACATTGTACTATCAATATTCATATATTCATCACGTCAGGTTTACGATCTAAGTCCTAACATTATCTGTGGCCCATAGGTGTTTACTGGTCACATCAGTTCTGTTTGTGAAGCCTACATCGAGTCACACTGTTATGATTCACTAACGCTTGATTCGGAGAAAAAACTAGGTCATACTTATGATGTTATCAAGGGGAGGTAACTCTGAATAGTCAGTTTGTCTGTTCCAGCTATCCAAGCAGTAAGTATGGTTTTACGCCGCTTTTAGAAATATTCCAGCAATATCACGGCGGGGGACAGCAGAAATGGGCTATCCAAGAAGTAGAAGTAGGATTTTCATACGGTAATGCTGAATGACCACGTATGCTCTCTTACTTCAAAATAGACCTGTACTTAATGCATAAAGTATTTCACAAGTGTTATTGAAGTGTACTTAATGGATTCAGTAAATTAATCAAGCTGCGTCTTTAGATCCGTTCAAACAGCTTTATGAAATAATGAGACATTACTTACTTACTTGTGAAGTGATTTGTTTGCTTTGACTTGAAAATGTTTCCAAATCTGCAAAATATGTGCAATGTAGGCAATAGCATCTTGTGAAGATACTTGACCTGTTTCCTCTGTTAATCCTGTTGTTCAAGAACAAGATCTGAGTGCCATCTTAGTGAACATCTGTTTTCTGTAAACACAAGATAAAGAAATAGGATGGGAAAGGTGGGATGGAATCTTTGCTTGCCTGTCTGAACACCTAAGTTTCCTTTCAGTTGTTGTTGTCCCCAGCATTAATATGAGTTTGATTAAGATATCAGTATTGTGAAGCCTCTTTTGAAGGGTGAATCAGGTAACTTGTGTAGGCGTGGCATGGACGTGGTCACTTTGTATCCCAAGACAACAGTAGCTGGTGCCTTGTCTTTTACCATTATTTTCATTATGTGGTCTAACAAAAGATCCTTTCAAAATAGATTCACATTTTTATCCCCAAATATTAACATAAAAGATTCTCAGCGTTTACCTTAACATTTTTGTTAAGATATTTTTATACCAGCAGACCAGAATCAGTAGCCAGAAAATGTCACTAGCACGTCCAGATAGATCATTATACAAGGCTTGTATTACAAGCTATATTAAGCATTTTCTATGCCTAGTTCGCCGTTAAAACAGCCACATGTCCAAGAGTCTCGTTAAATTGTATTTGGTCTTTTAATCTTAACGGATAATAGTCCACAGTATGTTACGGAAGAGAGAAGTTTGGGTTAATTACAATGTTTGGCTGGGTTGGTTGGTTGGTTTGTTTGTTTTGTTTGTTGTTTAATGCCGCACTCAGCAATACTCCAGCTATATGACGGCGGTCTGTAAATAATCGAGTCTGGTCCAGACAATCCAGTGATTGACATCACGAGCATCGATCCACGCAATCGGGATCGAAGACATGCATTAACCAAATCAGCGAGCTTGACCACCCGATCCCGTTAGTCGCCTTTTACGACAAACATAGTCGCCTTTCACGGCAAGCATGGGTTGCTGAAGACCTGTTCTACCCCGGAATCTTCACGGGTCATGTTTGGCTGGGACTCTGTACACTTCGTGGTCCTGGACACAGCTTATATGTCCAAGCTGTTCTGTGTTGTCCTTGATGCTGAGCAGTGTTTACCTACAGGTGTTTACTGTGATGGTATCCCAGGTCTTGTCAGAGTAGATGGCTAGCCTGCACTGGTACTTAGGTTGAGTCACAACTGTTAGTTCTAGCACTGCTGACACAATCAAATGAGTTGCTGATACAGATCCGATGCATGATAATCAATATCATTATTTGCATGTTATTGTCAAGAACACTATATTAATTTACCTGCGTATGTGTGATTTCCTTGTTTAACGAGTTATTTTGTACCTGATTCAGACAAGTTACCATATTTGACATATTTAGTGACATATTTACCATGGGCAGTTTTTTAGTGATGGAATAGTTTGACAAGAGAGAGATCGTTCATTTCTGATTTATATTTTTGTCATGAGAAGTGGATCATTAACAATTAGGAAGGACATGCTGGAAAGGGACTGATATCTGCTTTGTGGAAGCTACTGCTGATTTTGCAATTGGGAATTGACAATGCTGGTTTGGTTTGGTTTGTTGTTTAACGCCGCACTCAGCAATATTCCAGCTATATGATGGCAGTTTGTAAATAATCGAGTCTAGACCAGACAATCCAGTGATTAATATCATGAGCATCGATCCACACAATTGGGATCGGTGACATGCATCAACCAAGTCAGCGAGCCTGACCACCCGATCCCGTTAGTCGCCTTTTACGACAAGCATAGTCGCCTTTTACGGCAAGCATGGGTTGCTGAAGGCCTATTCTACCCCGGAATATTTAAGGTTAATTGACAATGCAGTCAGTGAGTGAAGGTATGTTCAGTTTCACTCACGGAAGGGCATGGGGCATGGGGTATGGGATAGTTTGGGAGGTGAAGTTTTTGTGTTTTTTTGGAGGGATGGGGGATAGTTAGAGAGGGGAAGTTATGTTTTTGGAGGAAGGTGGGGATGGTCCGGGAGTGAAAGTTGTGGTTTTGGAGGGGAGAGGGGTAGTTCTGGATTGGAAGTTGGAATCTTTTGGGGGATGGGGTGGTGGGGGAGGCAAAGTTTGAGACGGGGTGTGGGGTGTGAAGGTAGTGGATGGGATGGTTACGGTGGAGAAGTTGGGGTGGGATAGTTGTTATGGGGATGTTGGTGTTGGGGTAAGGGTCAGGGATGCCTCCCTTTTGAAAATTTAAGATTTGTGTTCACCTGTCAATTAATGTCTCGCTCCAAATAATATATACTGAAGTATTTTTATCTAGATCCTCATTGTGTAATTTCTGGATCCATCCATTTAAACTTCCATCTTGATAAGAAAATTAGAAGAATATTATATGATATTGTTCTGTGTTGAATAGAGCAGTTCACTCAATATGTCGAATATGGAAACTGTTTCATGTGTTAGCAGTCAGCATATTTCTCTGATGTAAAGACTTAAGTCTTCTCTTTGCTGAATTGTCTGTAGGGAATCAAGTACTTAGCCAAAAGATTTGCCATCAGCTGCTTATTCAGGGACATTATGGATGAAGAAAAGGTTTACTGGTTTGATACATGTGTAAAAAAATGTATGTATTATAGAAATCCTGTGTATTATGTATCCTTATGTGTGAGAGGAGGGACGGTAGAGGGGGGGTAGTTGGAAGGGCGGCGGATGAGGATGGTGCACAACAGCCGGAGCTTGACACTGAAGTGCAGTGACACGAAACCAGTCATCATTTTGTGGAACATTGGGGACAATGATACTGACTAATATAGGGGTATCAATATGGTACATATTGAAAACAAAACAAAAAAGTTGAATTGATTTGTCAAATGTTAAAAATCTTTTAAGTTCAAATGATGTTTATCATCGGCAGCTGAATATTTTCAAATGAGTACATACTTAATAATGAGACCACTATGTTTTTTAAAAACGTCATATGATATCTTACACTTTGCCTTAGAGAAATAAGGATTAGTTCCATCCACATTTATGCCAGGTATTGACATTGAGATATGAGTTCAGAATCAAACTGTTTTACTCTATTATAACTTGTAGTAGGCAGAGGACCGTAGTTTGAAGACTGACATTTTACATTTAGGCTTAATAGTTAATTAAGTTAAACTTTGTGACCACAGCATGTTGGTCAAACATCTTGCTCAAGAACTGGTGTGTCAAGCTTCTTGCACAGGATCCTGGTGTGTCAAGCTTCTCATACAGGATCCTGGTGTGTCAAGCTTCTTGGACAGGATCCTGGTATGTCAAGCTTCTTGGACAGGATCCTAGTGTGTCAAGCTTCTTGCACAGGATCCTGTTGTGTCAAGCTTCTCACACAGGATCCTTGTGTGTCAAACTCTGTACTGGATCCTAGTATGTCAAACTTCTCACACTGGATCCTGGCGTGCCAAACTTCCCACACAGGATCCTTGTGTGTCAAACTTCTCACACTGGATCCTGGTGTGTCAAGCTCTGTACTGGATCCTTGTATGTCAAAGTTCTCACACTGGATCCTGGCATGTCAAACTTCCCACACAGGATCCTAGTGTGTCAAGCTTCTTGCACAGGATCCTGGAGTGTCAAGCTTCTCACTCAGGATCCTGGTGCGTCAAGCTCCTTGTACAGAGAGCTGGCACATCAAGCTACTCATGCAGGATCCTAGTGTCAAGCTTCTTGTATTGGAAGGAAGTGTGCCCAGCTATGGCTGTGCAGACGAAGTGAAGGGGGGAGGAACATACAGTGTTATAATGTGATGAGTAAGTGTTCAATATTGTTTGTGTTGTTAACTTATGACTTTATTATGAAAAAGATGATATAAAATATGAAAAAAAGTCAAATTCATAATACAATTATAATATATAAAACAAAGCTCACAAAAACCAAGTATTCATCTATGATGTTTTGACGTTATTGTGTTCATTTTCAATCTCTATTTGTGTATATGTCCATGAGAACAAATATCCTGAAGTCACATTTTATGTAGCTTATTAAAATGAGTTTATATATTATTATTATATATATATTAACAAATGTTGTTGGTTTGTATTTTAATAATACTATAGTTGTGTTGTAGAAACAAATTGTGTAAAATAAATACAAACCAAATGCAAATATGTTGATTTTAAACATTTGTACTGGTGGGAATGAATATATACATATATGTCCTGTGTATGTTTTTGAGCAGAATAGTTTTAGATTTTTATCTTTTCTTTTCATCAACAATAAGTGTTTTTATCAGTTATACATGTTTTATCAGGTATATATTTAAACCTGTTTGCTTGAATTGACGCTATGTTAATCCACAAACTGATATGTATGTCAAATGTAAATAAGATTTTTATTGTAGAAAGTCATCCTTCAATGTCTGATTCATCGTTGTATACAATCATCTCATGAAACACCCCTTGGCAATTTCACATGCTGAACTTACTCAAGGGGAGATAACTCCATCAACTTGACTAGTGTACACTGTTTTTACAAGATCTATGTTCATATTTGGTCTCCTTGTAACTAGAGTTATCTACCCTTACCCCGACTGCAACATTCAAAGCATAATAGATAACTGGTCTCAATTAGAGTGCCATCACTTTTACACATCAATATCATCAGTTGAGTTGTTTTGTCAAGTAGGCATGGTAGCGTGTTCTGATATCTGTGCCGATGAATGGAAGGCTGCGTTTGAATGAGTGCTATCACAGCTACACAACCACATTCTTCAACCGGATGTCGTTCATCTTTCCAAGGAGGAACATACCAAAGATGAAAGATACCCTGTTATCCTTCACGTAACCATGGTAACCACCCTAGATGACATCCGTAATAATTCTCGATACATACAAACAACAGTTGGCCTTAATACGGGGAAGGGGTGGGCGGAAACTGACCTTGGACAAATGGGTAAAGATTTAGTTAAATGGCTTGAAGGCAATACATGATCTTTCGTAAGAACAATTTGTGGCAGTTTTGTTGTTGTGAAATTTTAATAAGATGTTATAAGTGTATTACTGCTTAGCTTTACCAACCATCCTTTGTAAAATTTCTGTACCATGTTGTAAGCCTAGACAGGAATGGCCGCCTTAACAAAAACAGGATGTATTTTCACATAGTTACTTTGCGAAGGAGTAATTTGCCTAGTTCGGATATTCTAAATGAACATTTAAACTCTTGCACATATATTTTTATATGAATTCATACTTCATCATACACCAATTACCTTTGTATTGATTAACATTCTCCTTCATCTTGCACACATTGGGCACCTGCGATGCAGTAGATGGATTACCTCCCCTGGTTCCGAAATCTGACATTGGACTGCAGTAGGTTATGAGCAAAATTTGTTTCTCGAACAAATCAGAGCGATGTTCAGGTTGAACTTTTGTTGGACTAGTGGTGTAAGTGCACTTTTAGTTATGAATGGACTAATGGAAGATAGTGGAAGGAATATTTATCTGATAATAGTTTAAAATCTCGTTGCCATCGCGAAAACATTGCGCTTTTGTGACCAAATTGGACCACAATATCAGGAGAAGGTAAATATTACAGTAATGGTAAGTGAATAGTTACGTAACATTTTTGAGAAAGCAGTGAAGAAATGTTTGAATATGATTTAGTGGTTTGAGGGAAATGCTATCACATTGCTGACACTTTGTCGGGTACAAGTCTTAGCATCATATAATCCAGGAGTTAGGTGGTGCCGAAACATGATTCAGAAATAGAAATCCCATTTATTTTAAGTTTTCATCTGACTATGGTGCTTCACTATTGTGTAGAATTGAAAACTTGCTACTTTACTGAAGGTTCTGTGGATATCAGGTATGAAAATTACGGAACTGATTTGATGGCTGAAATTATATTTCATTGGTGGTGCTAAATATGGGTCATATACCTGATTACCCTCAGTCCATGATGGACTCTTCCAAATGTATTAGTAGGGTAGTGCTGATTTTGTTAAAATTGGTATTAGAATTTTCAAAGGTTTTTGGTGGTAATGTGAGAAGCTGTTTTTATGTTTCTGCCTTTAGTGCAGTCTCATGTGGCCAGGTGTCTGCATGGCTGGTACACTGTGAGTTGGAACAATTGTCCTGTGCAGTCCTTGTTCATACAATCTATGCTTTATACATCTTGTTATTACATTTATTAATGTAAGTGATTAGTTCTCAATTAAAAGTGTCTCTTGTAAATTATACACACACAGTAGGCTTGTTTTGTGTATTGTTTGATATACATAGAAACGTGAGGCAATAATAAATGAATTATGTGAATTTGGTCACCGTTGTTTATTTCCTGGACTACAGACACGGGTCAGGTTACAGTGTTGTGTGCCTTATTACCTGGGTGTCTTTGTACAAAACCTTAGCGCTACGACTGTCGTAAGTCTATGTTAAGGAATGGGAGTTATGATCACCTTAGAGCTAAGATAGGTTTGAACAATGGCACCCTGGACCAGAGGTCAGGTTACAGTGTTGTTGGTTTGTTGTTTAACAACGCACTCAGCAATATTCCAGCTGTATGACAGCGGTCTGTAAATAATCGAGTCTGGACCAGACAATCAAGTGATTGATATCATAAGCATCGATCCATGCAATTGTGATCGATGACATGCATCAACCAAGTCAGCGAGCCTGACCATCTGATCACGTTAGGCACCTCATACGACAAGCATAGCCGCCTTTTAAGGCAAGCATGGGTTGCTGAAGACCCATTCTACTACAGTATTGTGTGACTGTTTATTACCTGGACCAGAGATAGGGTCAGGTTACAGTGTTGTGTGACTGTTTAATACCTGGACCAGAGATGGGGTCAGGTTACAGTGTTGTGTGACTGTTTATTACCTGGACCAGAGATAGGGTCAGGTTACAGTGTTGTGTGACTGTTTATTACCTGGACCAGAGATAGGGTCAGGTTACAGTGTTGTGTGACTGTTTAATACCTGGACCAGAGATGGGGTCAGGTTACAGTGTTGTGTGACTGTTTATTGCCTGGACCAGAGATGGGGTCAGGTTACAGTGTTGTGTGACTGTTTATTACCTGGACCAGAGATAGGGTCAGGTTACAGTGTTGTGTGACTGTTTAATACCTGGACCAGAGATGGGGTCAGGTTACAGTGTTGTGTGACTGTTTATTGCCTGGACCAGAGATAGGGTCAGGTTACAGTGTTGTGTGACTGTTAATTACCCGGACCAGAGATAGGGTCAGGTTACAGTGTTGTGTGACTGTTTATTACCTGGACCAGAGATAGGGTCAGGTTACAGTGTTGTGTGACTGTTTATTACCTGGACCAGAGATAGGATCAGGTTACAGTGTTGTCTGACCGTTTATTACCTGGACCAGAGATAGGGTCAGGTTACAGTGTTGTGTGACTGTTTATTGCCTGGACCAGAGATGGGGTCAGGTTACAGTGTTGTGTGACTGTTTATTACCTGGACCAGAGATAGGGTCAGGTTACAGTGTTGTGTGACTGTTTATTACCTGGACCAGAGATAGGGTCAGGTTACAGTGTTGTGTGACTGTTTATTACCTGGACCAGAGATATGAGTCACAAATTGTCATACACTTGACATACATGACAAATTTACCCTTTTCTAAACACAAAACACGAACTTGCAGTTTTTGGTATTCAGAGTCAGTCTTGGTTTATTTCTCCACTATACAACACTGTCTAGTACAAACAACTTAAGTTTCTTAACAATGTTTCTTGCCAAGAAACAAAATAGTTCCTTCAACCAACAGCAGGGGATGTGACTGTCTATCAATGAAGTGGCAAAAACATTAATCCTTCACAGGACACCAATTCTGGTCTGTATTCCCCTTAGAGTCTGTAAATCAACCAGGAACAAACCTGATTCCTCTGAAGGACATTACCTTGTAACACAAATGTCTTTTTTTCACAGCTTGTAAAGTTCTTCCTGAGTAAACTCGATTCTCCATGGAAGTTATAAAGATTACTTTCTCTTGGAGGGGTCATCCTCATCTCTGGAGACATATTTGGACACCCTCTGTTTGATGTCCTTGACCTCGTCCTCGAACTCCCCCGGGGTGTCAGGGGTACGGTTGAACTCCATCTCGTACAAACCTCGTCTCTCCAGCTGTGTGCGGACCAGTGCATCCTCGTCGTGCTGCATGTGAATGTATGTGGGAGGAATCAAAGCGCCGGCCACGTACCTCCGCTCAGAGTTGAGGAAATTGAAGGTCGAACACGCCTGGTCCTGAAATGATGCAAGGGCAGATCCAGCATTTTCAAAAGAGAGGGGTTCAAAATATCAAAGTCAATTTTAATGCCTACATACTACATTTGGTGTGTGTGTGTGTGTGTGCATGCGTGTGTGTCCAGACCCCTCCTGCCCTTTGGATCCACCTATGTGATATATGATTCACAAAGATATTGTACATAATTATGCAAACAAAACATGCAGATAAGACCCTACATTCTCTAAGTGCCTGTGTGAGTCACGTGGATATCTGACATAGTATAGTGACTCCGAGCCAACCAGTCCTTGTTTTATCCTCGTAAATGCTGAGCGCCAAGCAGGGCCACCTATATTGTATATGCCCTGCTTCCATGTCATAACACAGGAACCACACCTGGCACCAGACCTGATGAACTCACCGTGGGCAGGACTTCCACGTTGATCTTGTTGCTACGGAGATACTTGATGATACTTGTGTCATACTTTGCACCTTTGTCCCCGATGCCAAGAACCAAGATGTCTGAAAGGTGAAGGATGAGTGAGTGGACGGGGTGGATGTTATTCATGGTCTGCTCAGTGAGAATGAAATAGTCAGGGATGTTTCTTGTGCTCTGGCGCAGCCTACATACTGAGACTGTCTACACATTGGCACAGCCAACATCCTGAGACTGTCTACACACTGGCACTGCCTACATACTGAAACTGTCTACACACTGGCACAGCCTACACACTGAGACTGTCCATACACTGGCACAGCCTACACACTGAGACTGTCTACACACTGGCACTGCCTACACACTGAGACTGTCTACACACTGGCACAGCCTACACACTGAGACTGTCTACACACTGGCACTGCCTACATACTGAAACTGTCTACACACTGGCACAGCCTACACACTGAGACTGTCTACACACTGGCGCAGCCTACACACTGAGACTGTCTACACACTGGCACTGCCTACATCCTGAGACTGTCTACACACTGGCACTGCCTACATACTGAGACTGTCTACACACTGGCACAGCCTACACACTGAAACTGTCTACACACTGGCATAGCCTACACACTGAGACTGTCTACACACTGGCACTGCCTACATCCTGAGACTGTCTACACACTGGCACTGCCTACATACTGAGACTGTCTACACACTGGCACAGCCTACACACTGAGACTGTCTACACACTGGCACAGCCTACACACTGAGACTGTCTACACACTGGCACAGCCTACACACTGAGACTGTCTACACACTGGCACTGCCTACATCCTGAGACTGTCTACACACTGGCACAGTCTACATACTGAGACTGTCTACACACTGGCACAGCCTACATACTGAGACTGTCTACACACTGGCACAGCCTACACACTGAGACTGTCCACACACTGGCACAGCCTACACACTGAGACTGTCCATACACTGGAACAGCCTACACACTGAGACTGTCTACACACTGGCACAGCCTACACACTGAGACTGTCTACACACTGAGACTGTCTACACACTGGCACAGCCTACACACTGAGACTGTCTACACACTGGCACAGCCTACATACTGAGACTGTCTACACACTGGCACAGCCTACATACTGAGACTGTCTACACACTGGCACAGCCTACATACTGAGACTGTCTACACACTGGCACAGCCTACATACTGAGACTGTCTACACACTGGCACAGCCTACACACTGAGACTGTCTACACACTGGCACAGCCTACATACTGAGACTGTCTACACACTGGCACAGCCTACATACTGAGACTGTCTACACACTGGCACAGCCTACATACTTAGACTGTCTACACACTGGCACAGCCTACATACTGAGACTGTCTACACACTGGCACTGCCTACATACTGAAACTGTCTACATACTGGCACAGCCTACATACTGAAACTGTCTACACACTGGCACAGCCTACACACTGACTATACACTTACACAGTCAACACACCGACACTGTCTGCACACCAACATTGTCAACACACCGACACTGCACACTGGCACAGCCTACACACCGACACTGTCTGCACACTAACATAGTCTACACACCGACACTGTCTGCACACTGTCAGCCTACTCACTGACACAGCCTACCGACTGACACTGTCTACATACTGACACATACCTATCTTCGGTTCCAAGATGGTGAAAAGTGAAAGAGAATCCACGCTGATGTCCTCCGGGCCGCTCACCTGTGTATAAATATACATGTCAGTATTGAACAACAGATTCCTCACAGACAACAGTGTCACACTCTCATAATATCAACATGTATGATAAACATAACTGTCAACATGACATATATAAATACCTTCAATAACTGTCAACATGTTTTGGTAGTATCTAACTTAACATATTTACCCTGATCTGTCACATTAGGCCAAAAAAGAAAACTTGCATTTAGAAGTAACTAAGACAAAATTGTTATGGATGAGCAACTTCTTTATTACAATTGGGCGACGTTTCGGTGTAGATTCTAACACCGTTATGAAGCAAATGATCTCATCAGCTCGCCAAAACAACACTGAACTATTATCTCCCCACTGGCTTCCCATACATTCCTTCTTAGTAATGCTTGTGTTAATCCCATACCCATCAATCACTGTACATCAACCCTATCTCTTGTATAAACTTGTTTATCATAACTACCTATCAATCAGTGTACATCAACCTTATCTGTTATATAAACATCTACCTATTGTTATGTATATATATCATGCTCATACCTAGTTTGTACATCATTTGCTTGATAACGGTGTTAGAATCTACACCGAAACGTCGCCCAATTGTAATAAAGAAGTTGCTCATCCATAACAATTTTGTCTTAGTCAAAAAAGAAAAGTCTTGGTTCTCAGGCACCGCCCACATCAACATAAAGTTTGCTGCATGTTTCGTTTTTATTTCAATTTTTTAAAAATATATCAAAATAATCCTTAAATATTCCAAGTCCATCTTGTATTCCAGTATTTTACTCACCATGGAATGCATTTATGAAGGGAGGCCCTTTCCCAGGTTGATTGTATACAATTATTTTATTGATTACACAACTGTTTATTGGTAACATACTAGTTTGGACAACACCCACCCCCAACCCCCCCAAAAAAACACACCCGCCCTCACTATATTTTCAAAATCCATTGCCTGAGAACCAATTCTTTTATTTTTTTAAGCCTTATGCAAACACAAACATATTCATAGGAGATGACGTTTGAAGTATGGTCAAAGGGACACAACTCATGTATGGATTCAGTGAAGTCCTGTTAGTGCAGAGAGTGGAGTTCAAAGTTTAACTAATTACTGGCTTAATGAATCAACCCCTCAATTATCCTGCATAACATATCGTGGCTTTGTTGAAATATATTTACGGCCCTCCACTTACAATTTTGTTTAGAATGTTGACAATCAGGTGTTTTCAGGAATATGCATATTTATTTCATGATAGAAAACCCCCAAAGAAATACACTTGATTACATATTTTCTCAAGATACCGAACCATTTGGATTGTATCGCAATATATATTGTTGAAGGTACACCGTACACTGATTATACAGTGCAGACCTAATGATGACATCACAGAGCTCCAGAAAAAAACTTTTGGTGTTGTGGGTATTTTACCCATGCATTTTAAAATCATTGGGTATCAGTAAATCTATCTGGGTATTCAAATTTCTGTTACCCACCAGATTTTACACGTGGGTATTTAAGTTAAATATTTAAAAACACTATTCATCTAGTCCCTGCAAACTGGTGTCGTGTGGGTTCGAGAGCTTTATAGGACTCAAAAATACCACGATACTTCCACAAGAAAGTGTGATGGCAAATGATCGTGATGTAACTGTCATTGTGGAGTTTGGCAAGGTTGACTGAATGCCCGTTTATAATTTCAAAATAAGTTGCTAATTTGCTAATTGAATACGCAGGGTTACTTTACAATATTTTGATGATACGCACAAGTTTTATTTTTGTAGCTTATCTGTAATGTTCGTTGCGTATTTGATACACTTGGATTTTATTTTACTGCATATTTCTGCATTTCTGATGTGTATTTTACGCAGATATGCAGCTTATCTGGAGCTCTGTATCATTTCCCAAACAAAGCTATGATGCAGATAGGTCAACACTGTTATGGACCGGAGACACAAAGTATTATATAATACACTGGGTAACCGAGGAGGAATGAATCACTGGTTCTGAGGAATGTCTCTTTATATTCCCACTACTTGTCTACAATTGATTGTCTGTAGTATAACACCGCATTCAGCACTATTCCAGCCACATGATGGCTGTCTGTAAATAATAGTCTCGAGTTTCATGAACATCGATCTACCCAATTGGGATACGATGACATGCATCAACCAAGTCAGGGAGACTGACCACCCGATCCCGTTTGTCGCCTCTTATGACCCAGATCTACATGGGGGACTCAATCTCATTAAAATCAGATCTTAGTTCTCGCTACCACTAAACAAAGATCTGAGGACATCCCATTACGGGTGACGTCTGAATACCCTGTGTTGAAGTTTTCCAGGTTGCATGAAGAGAAATCACATTCCGACTGTCACTTTCATGATCTGGTAAGCGACGCTCTGACTGGTCGGATGAAAGGTCGTTCTGATGTGACCCCTAATGGGATGTCTTCAGATCTTTTTTGAGCAGTAGCGAGAACTAAGGTCTGATTTTAATGAGATTGATGGGTGACTTGTCTTGACACTGAGGTTTCTGGATTAATAGCGTTCAATTCTTGGACATCAACACATTGAAACTTCTTTAGCGTGTTGAAGTTACATGCATGTATTCAGGTCAAACTGTCATCTTGAAAGTATACTGATCCCTCAATATATTATTATTTTTGTGTACGGAGAAACGTACATTCCAATGAAGAACTGATCGCGGAAACACAGCACATGGCCCAAATATCCGGAAACCATTGTTGAGTTTGAATCCAACAGAGCTGTAGGCATCTATAAATGTTACTGTGTCGTCTTCCTTGCTGAGGATGGTGACTGTGGTTGCTGTAGCGTTGACGTTGCCATCAATGTTGTGATGTCGAACAGGTGTCGCGCTGAAAGATATAGGTATTAATCAATTTCTTCAAGGTGAGGTGAGGTGAGGTGAAATGTGCGTGCATGTGTGTGTGTGTGCATGCGTGTCAATTTCTTCAAGGTGAGGTGAGGTGAGGTGAGGTGAAATGTGTGTGCGTGTCAATTTCTTCAAGGTGAGGTGAGGTGAAATGTGTGTGTGTGTGTGTGTGTGTGTGTGTGTGTGTGTGTGTGTGTGTGTGTGAGTGTGTGTTTGTTTGTCTGCTTGCATTGGTCTGGACTAGTTTTATAGTGCCACCTCTGGAGATACCAAGCAGCAGTTATACTGACTCAGAGCAGACCAGTCCTTGTTCTATCCCCTTACTGCTGAGGGTCAGGCAGGTTTTAATGTCTTTTGGTATGACGTAGCTGGGGATCAAATCAAAGACCTTCCATTGTAAGGGCACACGCTCTATCCACTAGGCCATGGTGGTAGTCTAGCCTGTTAGTGCTGTCGTCTGCACAGATAGCCCAAATATACACAAACGAACTCAGCGTGTCAAAATAACCATGCTGAAGTCAGGATTGTTGAGGATGATGGTAAACAGGTAAACAACACACTTGCGGCATATTGCACATGCGAGTTTACCCGACAGCCTAAATGAACCGGTTTCGTACATATGTTTTCAAAATAGACAGTGACCAAAGCCCCTGAAACAGGAAAACTATAATCAAACATCGGACCTAATAATATACAAGCTTATTTATTTGTATACATTGGTCAGATAATTCAGTAACATCACTACCCTGCTTCAGGAGCCCGTGACAGTGCCGTGGAATGCGTAGCCACGCTATGGCCTATGTGTGTAGATACGGAGAGGAGTACCTGGTCGTTACCCAACACTCACGAAAATATGTGACATTCGTTACCATACAGTTACCTAAACTGTGGGTGCAATCTGCGAAGTAAACAACGAGAAATATTCCTTAAAAGCATCATGGAGTCAGTGCTGTATTCCACGCTGTGACTCAGAAATGGACTTTATCATCGTTTTCAATGCACCCAGTGAGCCATTCCCACAAGAAAGTCAAACCAATGTGACTACGGTTAGTATGGAGTTATCTCCCTTGGTGGTATTAGACGCGAGCTTTCCTAAATTTAGACAACAATCACCAAACTTGTTGAAACATTCCTTGTGACTCATTTTAACTACAATAACATACAAAAAAATGATATATGTAGAAAATGCAACATGTTATAACAAAGGCTGGGTCGTTTTGAATACACGACAATATAGTTGCATGTTCAATGGTTATATATGTGACCTCAACAATCTATATATCTGCACTTCTTGTTTTAGTCTTAATGACCTGTGAGATTGGAGTATAAACCTGTTGAAAATCTTGACTTGCTTCAATTAGACTCTATTATTACAGAAAGAAGGGAAAATATATGTGTACGTACGTATGTACGCATGTATGTACGCATGTATGTACGTATGTGTGTACGTATGTATGTATGTATGTATGTATGTATGTATGTATGTATGTATGTATGTATGTGCGTACGTATGTATGTACGTATGTATGTATGTATGTACGTACGTATGTACGCATGTATGCACGTATGTATGTACGTATATGCGTACGAATGTACGTATGTATGTATGTATGTCATAGAAATAATAACAGACATTTTTACACCACTTTCTATTTACTACATACATGTATTTATCGATATGATTAAATTTGTTTTTGAGAACGATATACTTTCCCCAGCTATACCCAACAAACTATTTACTTACTGAGCAAAATCAAATAATTAATTCATTTTCACAATTAACACACACCAAGTTACGTTTGGGTATTTTTCCGCAAGACCGACTATATATTTTTTTCACCAATGCCAGCAAACTATTCATTTTGGCATTTTTATGAGCAAACCTTTCATTAAAACAATCACTTCCCAGACCAATAGATATCAAATGGCTGCTCCCAAAGGGTAGATATACATATAGCATTTTCAGTAATATGTTTTTGAAATAGCATAATCTGAAAAAACCCACAACTATTTGCGCACCTTGCCGAAACAAATGTATCAACCACATGGCTCGATATAAGGACTCTATATACGTGACATTAAGCCGTATCACCCTCTATGTAAGACCATATGTATAGACGCCCTGGTGAGACCTTTCAAGAGGCTTAACAGTTTCTTCGAACCTGTTAATTGGCGTGATGTCGACCTAGCAACCAGCTCCCGTAATAGCGTCCCTGGCGACGTGCAGTGGTATAAATGGGAGCGGGCAAGCTCCAGGTGCGCCACACACCAACTCGAGCAACCTGTAGACCGACTGAGCTCCTCTCCAACACACTATACATCATGGTAAGAAGAGAATCTTGCTTTCTGGTTTTCACCAAATACTTATTTGTTACAGTTTCGATTTCGGTGTGTTTGTATTACACACATAATATATATATGCTGTAGTACGAGTTAGGATGTCGCGATACACCTGTCACGTGATACTATGTTTCTAAATAATGTTTCTTCAGATTTTTTTAAAAGGAATATACTATTGGAAATAACAGAGCTATTCTAGTCTTCACAACGGGAAGTTGTATTCAGGATGTACGAAATAAGTTGGGTCACAATAACTAAATTTGCTCAACATCTTGTTCCTTTTCCGCTTTTCCCTACTCTCTTGGGTTAATTAGCTTTAATCCCTTTATTCCTTAGCACAATGAATTGTTATTGTCATATATTTAGCATAAATATCTTTGACCACATCCAACAGTTAAGATTGTCAACCTCCGCTTATTCCTTTTCCGCTTTTCCCGGTATCATCCCAAAATAACTTCATGCCAAAATCACTACAGTCTAAACAACAAAGTTAATGGTATTGTAATCCCCATCCTGTTCCCTTTATCCCGAAGTGGACTGGTCTATCAACATACAAATAAAAACCCCACACTGAATAATAAAAATAGAATGATTTTTATGTGAACATCTCCGAGATCTCAAATTAAACAGAGTTCAAATTCGTAATCATTTTTATTGCGACTACAGCGCGATACTAATAGATCTAAAATTTAAATATAAAATCATTTACAAACTCGATAAACAGGAGATAAAGTTTACCAAAATTTCTTATGTGTGTAAATAATTGTAGGAAATCAAGTCAGATATAACAAAAGGATTGTAATAGTATGCGTGCATGTGGAGTTTACCGCCGTTGCCATCGTTGTGTCCATCTCATTCAGTCAAAGATGTAACTATCCCGATTATTTTTGTTTATTAACGGATTTACTGTGTATTTTTTCCTGTTCTTTGAGGTATGAATCGAAAAACTTACGTGCAGACTGTAGGAATCCGCCTAGATGATTCTTACAAAAGTTTGCGCATCCCTATTCCCTATCCCTGGACTATCCCACAACATCAGTGGGTAATTTACCTTTGTTGTCTTAACAAAGTGTCGCGATAATGGCGTTATTCTACTCTCAAGAAGATGATTGTGGAATTGCCAAACCGGTTAAAATATATGAGAATCGGGTTTTTTTGTTGAATGGGGCAGGAAAATGATGTGCAACTAAGGCGACACTTTTTTTATTTCTTGGTTTACGTATTTCAAACTCATTTCAAAAGTGAGGCAGGCCAATTTAAAAAAAAAGAAAAAAAAAAGCCTCTCACAATTTTTTTACTTGAATTTTGTCCTTAAAAGTTAGGTAGGTATGAAAAAAAATATCCTGGCGTAACAAAAGTAAAATAACTCAATTTTTCAAGAACATTTTATTAAATCCCTGGCACTCAGCTTGTGCACAAATGGCAACATAACAATATTCATGTCATTGATGGAAATGCATGAAAGACGTTGCTATTTTTGCACCAGCCAACCAAAAGATTACTGCTGTGACACCAAGTTCCCAGAGACTCTTGTGTGATAGATGAAACCAACATTTATCAAGGAAATTATCTGCTGAAATTAACATCTTTGCTGCTAAATGTTTGGCCATAAACTATTTGAAAGGTCTAATTAATCCTATTGTTTATAAATATAAAAGTTATGTGTATTACATTATTTAAATAATTCATTAACAACTAAATAAAGTTCGTTTTAAATAAAAAATAATGTAAGCTAAAACATTCATAACGTCCAGATTAAGGACCAATGAAGCGCAAATTTAACGATTTTTTCGGCAAATATAAGAATTCATAAAATCCACTTACCCATTTCTTTTTTATTTTCATTTGTTTACGTTGTTGGAACGTTATTTTAAAAAGAATTACAAATAATATCTGTCATCACCCATTTCCCGATGATAGTGGCTGTCCGCTCACTAACATGAGGAAATACCTCCGTTTTCAAAGCTCCGTGTGAATAACACATACGTCGAAGGCTGCCATGTCAGTATACATTAAAAAAACTTAGATTCTACATTGTTTCACCGACAAAATCTGCTACAAGGTTCGAGATTGGTCAAATTTAAGCACGTGACCTAAGGCAGTCAATCAAATTACAGCAACGGTAATTTTCAGACTTTGGCGAAAGGTTTGGGTTAAATCATGTTATTCTGAACGCTTAAGCATGAAATCGCGATCTATATTAAAAAAATGGAACTTTATGGATGCATAGAGCTAGGTTACGAGCTGTGACAAAGATTTCTTATGCATATATTTTGGCATTAAGACATCGTGTCCGAGCCGAGAAATCGAGGCGACAAAAGGCGAGATGTCATTTGACTGACGATTACATGCGATCGCACGAAAAGTTGGAAATAATAACTTTTATAGATATATTTTTGATGATTTTATTACTTTGTAAATAAAGACGTTTCAGCACATGGAACATCTTTATTTTGCTGTTTGACATGTTCGATGAGGACCCGTTGTCGAAGTGTGTCCGAGAATTTTATTTTCAATAACATTGCGGGGAAATAGTGTCTAGTGAATACATTTGTGGCTTTGAACGGCCAAAAGTGTTGAAATAGTTAAACTGGTCACCACTGCGCTTTGCGTTATAAAGCTTTGATGGTATTAGAGAAGGATCCCAGCAAGAAATATCAGAGTGACTTCCCTTTGCTTTACTCTCGACGAGGAAATGAAATCTTTTGTTTGTTTGAACTTTTTGTCGAAAAAATCGGCGGTAATAAAAAAAAGGGTAATTTTCATTTTTTTTTTTTTTAACATTTGGACTTTGAAAGAGCGGCGCATCCGTAAACCAAGAAATAAAAAAATTGTCGCCTAAAAAGCCTTATTTGTTTTCAGAGGGAATGTATCTCCATCCATGTCGGCCAGGCCGGAGTCCAGATGGGCAATGCATGCTGGGAGTTGTACTGTCTGGAGCACGGCATCCAGCCCGACGGTCAGATGCCCTCAGACAAGACCATCGGGGGTGGGGACGACTCCTTCAACACCTTCTTCAGCGAGACCGGGGCTGGGAAACACGTCCCCAGGGCCATCTTTGTTGACCTCGAACCAACTGTTGTCGGTGAGTGTATTGAATATGATCTGTTTTTGACCATTTTCTCAAATAATCCTAAATCTAAGTTTAGTCTGTAAAATTGATGTTTTCTAAATATACATTATTTTTGTCTTGCTCATGTGACAACTGTGTTTCCAGATGAGGTCCGTACCGGCACCTACCGCCAACTGTTCCACCCAGAGCAGCTCATCACCGGCAAGGAGGACGCAGCCAACAACTACGCCCGTGGTCACTACACCGTCGGCAAGGAAATCGTCGACCTCGTACTTGACCGCACCAGGAAGTTGGCTGACCAGTGTACTGGACTCCAGGGCTTCCTCATCTTTCACAGCTTCGGTGGTGGCACTGGCTCCGGCTTCACCTCTCTCTTGATGGAGAGACTGTCTGTGGACTACGGCAAGAAGTCCAAGCTAGAGTTCGCTGTCTACCCCGCTCCCCAGATCTCCACTGCCGTGGTGGAGCCCTACAACTCCATCCTGACCACCCACACCACCCTGGAACATTCCGACTGTGCCTTCATGGTCGACAACGAGGCCATCTACGATATCTGCAGACGTAACCTCGATATCGAACGTCCCACCTACACCAACCTCAACCGTCTGATTGGTCAGATTGTCAGTTCCATCACTGCCTCTCTCCGTT